AACCTAAAATAAAGCAACATAGATAGCCTAACTCCATCTCAAAAAGAGGGACCAAGCAAGACATGGTGATACACACCTATTACCCCAGCATTCAGGAGGCTGAGGCACAAGGATCACCATGAGTTCCCAGTCCACCCTGGGCTACAAAGAGTTCAAGGCCAGCCCTGAGATGCGTAGCAAGACCCTGTCTCAAAAAGAACATCTTCAACTACACAGCGAGACCTTCTCAAAAAGGAAAACACTGTACTTGAGTATGAGCAAGAACTGAAAGGGCATTACCCTCAGATCTAGACCCAAATGAGCTCAGAATCTTAAGGTAGACTCAGAATACTCTACTTTTCTGTGGCACTGGGTAAGTGACAAGAGTAAAACAGAAAGCTGCTAGTTGCTGTTGTGGAGCCTTCCCTCCCCACAAAGGATCCAACCTAAACTGCTCCTTGGCTTTTTACCATACCACTTCCACCAGGAAAATTGAGGCTACAGTATATTACTTTCTGGTGAAGCTACAAACAGGACAGAGTTTATTAATCTTGTTCAATATCTGGCACATAGTAAGCATTCACTAAAAGCTTACTAAACACGTATAATCCCAGCACTGGGGAGGCTGAGGCAGGAGGGATGCCAAGAGTTCCAGGCCAGCCTGGACTACACAGTAAGACCCTGTCTCAAAAAATAAATAGGGGTCTGGGATATTGCTCAGTTGAATAAGCGCTTGCCTGGCAAGCGCAAGGGCCTGAGTTCAATCACCGGCTCTGCTAAATAAATAAATAAATAAATAAGAGACCTGGCATGCTCAAGGTCCTGAGTTCGATTTCCAGTCCCCAAAAAAGAGAGAGAGCGAGAGAGAGAGAGCGAGAGCGAGAGCGAGAGAGAGAGAGAGAGAGAGAGAGAGAGAGCGCACTTACTGAACATATAAAAGAAACTCCTGGGGGTGACTATAAAATCTCAGAAACCAAATCCAGGGTTCCTTTCTTCCCAAACAGCCTTGTATTCCCAGCTTTCCTATCCCGTTGGGTACTCACCACTACCTCAGGCTGCCAATCTTCATCATCAGAGGACCTACCCTCTGGTTTTCTCTTGGCCAGCTGGCTGGGAGCTAAGCTCCTCCTCTGTAAAGAAGGAACAAAAATTAAGCACCTGCAGGAATTCTGAGGCCTGGGCCCATCAGACTCAGACAAAGGGTTCTTCCCAGACACTCTTAAGCCCACACTTACCATCCTGGACCCAGAAGCAGAATATGTTAAGTACCCATGTGTCAAAAGTCAAAAGCACTCAGCAGCAGGGAATGTGTGTATTAAGGGCACTGCTACATCATCGAGAACATGGGCTAATTAAAGAGACTACGGATGGCAAGAATCCAACCAGGCGCGGGAGAATGGCTTCCAACTGAAAATGTCGGTCGCCAGAGAGCCAAGGCAAGAGACAAAGCCAAAGAGGTAAAATTCAGGCAGAAACAAGTGAGTCTAGGATGGGTGGAAAGGCTGAGAAGTAGGAATGGTCTCGGTAGGGTGAAGAGGGGCAAAGGTACAGGCGGAGGGGTGGGAAATTACAGTAGGAGAGAGAAGTGGTTAAAGCCGAGGCTTGGGGAGGGCGAGGAGCCAGAAACCGGAGGGAGATTTCCCAGGGAGGGAGAGCGGTTGGCAGCCTGGACTAAGGAAGACCGAGGAAGGTCCACCAAAAAGTGGAGGTGCTAAGAGACCGGACGAGGGAGAGTCTGAGGTCCACACAAGCGTCCCTTAACCTTCCTCTTTCGAAGGCGCGCGTTAACAGCCGCCAGGCTGAATTAATCGAACTTCCCGCCACGTCGCCGGCGCTTCACCTATTGGCTGCGTTCGATGTAATCGGCGTACGTGTGTTCGCTGGGCCTGGCTGCTAGAGAGGCGCCTCTGCCCATTGGGAGGTGGGGCTGAGGCCGTGGGACTAGCGCCTGCTGGCGGAG